GTGGCCATGTGGGAGTCCAGCAACATAACCATCACGCCATCTACTGATCTCTTGAATGACTTCTGAAAGACCCTTTCAGATCTGGCATTCAGGTGAGGCTGAATCCTTGTCTCAAGCCGGTCACTGCGCCTGGTCTACCAGAAGCAGCGGGCTGCTGACTTCATAGGGAGGCCAGGGAAGAGGCTCTTAGATCCTGGAGAATGTTGCTATCAGAAGTTACATTTTAGGTTGCAAGAAGGTGAGCTACCATTGTTTGTCCTCCATTCCCCTTCCAGTATTACCTATCTCCTTCTTCCTCTCATTTGTGTTTTGTTGTTGTTGATTTTTGTTTTTGTTTTTGTTTTGGAGAGGTTTTTGCTATACGGCGCATGCGCTTGCCTCACAGAGAGAGACAGAGAGACAGAAAGCGAGAAATGACCCCCCCAGGGGAATGGGCCCGCCACAACCCCTTCTCCTCCATTCTCCTCTCGGGATCTTGGGCACGCACGCACGCACACGCGCCCGGCGTCAGTTTTAAGCCATCGGGTCCAGGGATGCAAACCACAATCGACTACGTGGGAGTCCAGCGACATAGCCATTATGCTAACTGCTGATCCCCCTTTCATTTGTTTTTAAGTTTATTGCCATCCTCCCTGACTCCCTACCCTCCTTATCTGCTCTTATGACAAATCTGATCCTCTAGGCAATGGCTGATTTATTCTCACAAACTGGGGAAAAAAAAAAATCCAGTTGTACCAAAGTGAACATGAGGTGGGGATGGGAGAAGTACATCACACAGCTGGGTCGTCACAGCGAACAGAGGGGAGTCTGCAAATAGATCTTCTGCTCAAACGAAGATTACAGCTTAGGGGAAGCAGGCACCAAAGCGCCCACAGGGTCCTGGCTCCACAGGCGGCCCCCGCAAGGCTCCTCTTGGATACGAGTCTTCTGGCAGGAGAAGGAGCTTCCAAACAGGTTAGCCATGAGGAATAGCATGTCCATCACTGCCTCACAGGGCTCCAACTCTTTTTCAAAACTAGATCATTGTTCAGCTTTGACAAGTGGATCCTTATCTAAGCTCCGAGCGTCATGGTGGTTATCTCTTTCATGCCAGCCCTGGACATTTATGTGTATTTTCTTTAGTTCTCAGAACAACTTAGGGAGGTAGGTGTTCTGTTTATCTAATGCCATGTAACAAACCACCCCAAAACCTAATAGTTTCAGACGTCAGCCGGATAGTCTCATGGTTCTGGGGCTTCCTCAGGCGGTTCTTCAGTTCCGTGTGCTGTATTCCACTAAAAGCTCAGGTGTGTCAGCTCTCCTGGAAGCAGTCTCTCCCTCTCTCGTTCTCTAGGGCTTCTCCAGGTGCCCTTTCTCTAGCAGAATGACCCCCCGGGCAGCTGGGTTTCACAATGGGAGGAGTCCAAAGATTCAAGCCCAAAGTGAGCAAGTGCTTAGGAAGACAGGGCTTACATCATGTTTGCTAATGTCCCATTGGTCAACACAAGTCACATGGCCAAGCCAAGCCATGTGGGAGGGGACTTCACGGGGGCATAAATCTCAAATGGTACCCGAGGGCTACCCATGGGACAGTCTGCCACGTAGGTGTCATTTAGCCTTTTTTTGTAGTCGAGCGCACTGCAGCTCAGAGAGGTCCATCCAGCTGCTCAAAGTCATCCCACACAGCCAGTAAGAGAGGACTCAGCTCTAAGTGAGCCAAGGAACATGTTCTTTGCTGCCAATTCTAGGTCAGCCTGATACAGGGCACGGAGGTCTAGTAGAAGGGGGACAGGGACCAGGAGCCTGGTATAATTGCAACTGAGCTTCAGGCCCCTTTAAGCCAGAGGACATCATGCCCAGCAGGTCAGACCCATAGGGCTGTGTGAAGGGACAGGCAGTAAAGGGAGGCCTGAAAATGCTCCAGGGCACAGTCCAAGTTTCGGTCTGGCATTGTGTCCTCATCTGCCCCCAGCCTTATCCCTCCTTATTCTGTATTCCTCCCCCCTCCTTAACCCAAAGATAGGCTTCCACAGCACTGGCTCGCTCATCAGTTCTCCCTCACGGGCTCCACCACCAGGGGGTCTTTACTCACTCTGCCTGGAATGCCTCCCCACTCTGTAGAACCCCTGTGGGAATCAGGAGCCCTCCTGTGCTACCCAGCTCCTGATCACGGCACCTACCACCCTGGCCCTAGCAGCCTGGGTGTGTCTCTGTGCTTCTCTGAGGTGCTCTCTTCCCAGACAGGAGTTGTAAGAGCTCCCCTTTAGCTCCCAGCACTCACCCCCATAGTGGTTGACTGACTTGATCTGTCAAGGAGCTACACAGAGGCTTAGGATAATGTCCTTGTTTTTTCAGCAGCCCACAAAGTGATTAAATGTAAATAATTAAAAATAAAATTAAGAAAAAAAAGATCCCAAATGGGGACCAGTAGATGGCGTGGTGGGTAAGGCACTGGACTCCCACGTGGCTGACCATGGTTGGAGTCCCGAACCTGGTGACTTGTTCTCTCTCTCTCTCTCTCTGAGAAGTGCATGTATCCTATAGCAAATTTTAAAATAACAATAAAATTAAATAAGTAATTCTACAAAAAAAAAAGCCAAATGACCTGGAAAAAGTAACATGGGAGCCTGGCAGCAAAAACCTGCTGCTTTACTATTAATGAGCCTCTTTTTCATGGCCAACGTCTGACACCGGAGTTGGAAGTTCAACAGATGTGAGTTTCCTGGAGATTCAATGGGCAATACTTACCAATGTTACTATGAATACTCTTTCATGCCACAGTTCCTCCTGTTTATTCTAAGGAACAATGAATCCAAAATTATGTATACAAGGAAGTCTTATTGACAGTAGCACCGACTTATAATTAACCTAAACGCCCAAGAGTAGCTAACCATCTAAGTAATAATACGAATGTACGAAGACACACAACCAAGGACAGCGTCGTGGGCACGTGACCCCATGCAGTCCCTCCGGGCCCCGCTCAGACGGTCCTTCGCTTTGCCTAATGCTCCGCTCACCGTCTTAACACTCTTAATCATGTTTGAACAAGGGGCCCCTTATTTCCATTTTGTGCTGGGCCCTGCAAATTACGTAGCCATTTCCTGATTATGTAACAATTAAAATAATGCTCGTGAGAATATTTGTTGAAGTGGAAATTGCCCCTGTTGAATGAAGAAACGAGGCTCCAGGGCCATAAATGGTGCCGTCCTGATTTTGTAAAAACAGAAATATATATACACGTACAGATAAAGACTGGACAGACATGTTGGCACAATTATCTCTGCAGAAGCAAGAGTACGTGTGTTCTTTTCATTACTGTTTTCTTCTGGGGCTTGTTCTCCATTTTCCAGGACAAAGGGTATAAACGTACTTGTTGACTAAGATTTCCAGAAGAGGCCACGCTGTGTGTATCAGAGCTGAGCACGAGCAATTCTCTCGTGCCTCTGAGTCAGGAGCCTGAGATCTGTTGTTAAGGAAGCCAACAGCTCTTACGAGCTCCTTGAAGCTGAGGACCAATTTCTCGGTCCCCACTTCCCTCACAGGCTCGGCACAGGTGAAGCACCCAGAGACTGGGCACCAGAGCGTGAGTAACCCTTACTCACGGCAGGTCTTAGTGGGCATTTGCCACATTACGTGCTGGCTTGAAGCAGGGCCTTCTCTCCGGCCTGGGGCTACACATGTGCTCCAGATGAGTCTCTGTCCCAGGGAGAGGAACTGCCCCCAAGTCCTCTTGAGTCCCATGTCCCTCTGGAAAGAGGCTCCAGGAGCAGAGATCTGACTTACTGCTATGCAAAGGCGGGGGACACACCTGGCCTCCCTGTTTGTCTTAGTGCAGTTTCATCCCACCAGCAGAGGGCAGTAGTGATTAGCAAGCCCAGAAGGGAGGCGGGCGGGGTGCCCCGGAGGGAGTGACCCCACTTGCTCCACACCCATTTCTCACATTTTCCTCCCTCTGGAGCCCTTGGCAGGCTATTGCTGACTGCCCCGACTCTCAGCTGAGCATGAAGAGAACACAAGAACCCTTAGTTCTCTAAAGCTAAAGCCTCTAGTGTTAATGACTTCAGTTGACAGATGGGAACACAGGGACCCAGGAAAGGGACGGACTTGCCAGAGCCACACAGTTACGGGGGAGCAGAGTTTAAAGTGCTACAGCGGGGAGGCGGGGCTCATGCGTGGACTCGCCCGATGGGAAGGAGGAAGGCAGCTGCCAGTAGGAGAGCTGTCCGCTGTGCCTTCTGTGACCAGCTTTGGCACGCGGGTCGCACGCGGGTCCCTGTCTAGACCAGCCACTCCTGACGAGCTGGAGTGACAGGACTGTCTCGCCTCCGAGTTCTCAGCCTTTTGTGGGCCCTTGCAGTCTCCAAGGGCACTGGCCGGGCCTCCTCCTCACCTCTGTCTTCCCTTCCAGCATGCCAGCACCTGGCAGCATACACCTGTCAGGGAAGATGTGAGCACTCGGAGGTGGGGTGCAGGGGGTGTGGTGCAGCTCAGGCTGCTGTTTGTACCTGTGGAGGTCGTTTCTCTCTAAAGTCAGTCTTCCCCTGTAAAGGAAAGCTCCCTGAGGCCAGGAGTGGGGCTTTCGGTGTGGCAGGACCTAGACAAGGATGAGACTAGGAATGAATAGGTGCAATATCTGGGCATGGGGAGGGTACTTGGAGAAGTCTGTTCCCTAAGATGCAGGAAATAGCCCTCGCCCCGCGCACACCTGGTCTGTGCTCAGCCTCAGAATCCTCCAAAACCCCCAGCACCATTCTTAGCCCTTGCAATGACAGCCCCACCTCAATGACTTTTTCCTTCCCTAATTACCCTTTTAAATGAATTGTATGAAGGTTTCCATAAATTTTAAAACTGATTTGCACGCTTTAATAAGAGCACGTGGTGAGCAGGGAGTAGAAGGCTGTGAATTTTCCATAATAAAATTGACAGGTGCACATCCTTGATTATCAAGGCTGGGAGCTGCCCCCTCCTCCGGCTCCCAGGGGCTGCTGGCTCAGGACTGACGACTGCTTTCTGCTTGGCAGACCACGGTGAGCTGGGACGGGGACAAGCTCCAGTGTGTGCAGAAGGGCGAGAAGGAGGGACGCGGCTGGACCCAGTGGATCGAGGGGGATGAGCTGCACCTGGTAGGTTCCTGGGCTGGCCAGTCTGGCCCTTGGAGTCTCTGGTCACTGTTGAGGTCCAGATGGAAGAAGACCATGACTGGGCCTTGGTTCTGCTCTGAAGCTTCCCTTCCAAGGACCTGGAGAACATGCCTGAGTAACTTGAAAACTGAGCAATGTGTCTTCAGGTCTAGGCTGACTCAAGCTTCCAGGCAGAGGGAAGAGGTGAGGAGATGCACCTACTAAGCATCTGTAATGAGCTAAACCCTTTCACATCCCATATTTCTTTCTATTCTCTCAAAATAAGAATATCGTTTCTATTTTTGAAAGGAGGATATGCTCTGGAACGTTAATTTACACATCCAAATTGCTCATCTAGAAAGTGTCAGAACCAACGTTTGCTCCCAAATGGTGTATATGTTTACCATCTCAAATCATGAGCCAAAGAGAATTCTCGATCTCTGAGACCTGTTTTCAGTCGAGGTCGAGGCAGAGAGCACTTCCTCCGTGAGGTGGACCTCAGCCTCTCCTCCAGCCTGTGACCTACGATCAGAGCTACTTCTCTGCCCGCTGTCTGGGAGAAGCACACACAGATGTGGACCAGAGGCCTCAGCCCCCAAGGGCTAACCTAGCGCATGACCTTGACGGAGAGGACCCCCCTCACTCTGTCTCCCCCAATGAAACTCCCCAGTGGGCTTCCTTCTGCAGAAGGAACCTGGTCCAGGCAACCTGAATTCTAGCCCCAGTCAACTCCCTAGGTGCCCTTGGCTAGCTCTCCTCCTTTCCCGGGCCTCGTCTGAAAATGTCATCCTACCATCCAGGGGTTCTTCAAAGATCTCCTATGGTCTGCAAGAGCTTTGAGAAGTACCACGTTAGGGCATGAAGGCGTTATTTCTGGCGGCAGAGTGGCCTAACACAGAGAGCCTGTCCTCCCTGGGTCTCTCTTTTCTCAACTATAAAGAGGGTAGGTGACATGATCGCCATCGGTCCTCTGAGTTCAGTAGCTCAGTAGCTCTATTCTTCTATTCATTTGGCCCTCGAGGGCTTCACACTTCTGAGCTCAGTAGCTCAGTAGCTCTATTCCAGGCTTGTTTCATTTGGCCCTCGAGGGCTTCACACTTCTGGCAATTAAAAATTAGGGGGCGTCACATAAACATTCATATTTTAAGCCTCCTTCCTAAAACTTGAAAGACATGGCAATACTGTTGTCCTGGCCCCCTGGACACAGGACATGGGCTGTCTTGACGGCATTTTTGAATTACCTGAGAGGCTTTTCATTATAAATCCCAGCTGTTCCACACCCCCTGAGATGCTGATATAACTGGGTTAGTGCATCTACTAGATGCGCTTTTCAGACTCCTCAGGTAATTCCAAATCACAGCTGAAGCTTAGAGTTTTCACACTAGATTGTGACCCTGGTCTGAGGTGACCTATTAAGCCTTTGGGGGTTGACCTCTGTGTCTGGGCCTGATTTTTTGTTTTCCTAAGCCTGGGCATAGACTCTATCCTGGGCCTAGGCGTGAGGTTCTTAAAGCCTTTTGGCCTCTCGAGGGTGGTAGGAGAAAGGGGGGCGCAGGGTCCTGTTGGTCTGCTCTGGGCCGCATCTGTTCCTGGCCAGCTCTAACTGTACTGCAGAGTGCCATAGAGCCTAATCTCCACTACCCAGTTCAACCACATTCCAAAGGAGTAGTTCGAACCAGCTGCTGGAGGAACCGTAGCATCCGTTGAGTATGTTCAAAGTTCTGACCGCTAGAGCGGTCAAGGGTGACCCTAGGTGACCCTGCTCTGACCCACAGTCGGTATCTGCTTTCCTTTCAGGAGATGAGAGTGCAGGGTGTGGTCTGCAAACAAGTGTTCAAGAAGGTGCACTGAGCCCCGGCCAGATGACCTCTGTCTCAAGAAACGAGTGGTATGGACGTGGGAGCCAGGATCCCCCCTGCTTGCACACAGGTCGGAAGTGTGCAGCCACCCCAGGCCTCTGCTATAGAGTCTGCCTCTTGGCTTTGTCTCTTTTTCTCTTCTTAAAGCAAAGCCATCTCAATAAAGTGATCTCTGCTCAAGACATTTGTTGTGGGGATGTTTTCGCAGACCACCATGTTCACCCCTGATTCTCCAGCACTCCTGAGGCCAGCTCCTCCTGACACCACTCCCAGGCAGAGGGAGAAATTCAGCCATATGTCAGCAGTTTCAGCCCTGAGGTTGTACCTGGGCATGTCTATCCCCAGGGCTGCAGGTTCGAGCCAGGTGTGTGCAGCCCAACGTTCAGTCATCTGCTGTCCACTTGGGCCCAAAGTGTAGTGAGAGCCATGAAAGCAGAAGCTAGCCTCCATCCTGGGGACTTAGAGTCTAGGTAAGGAGATATGACCCACAAAGGATGGCTTCATAACTGCACTGCACACACAGGAGATGCTCCCAAAGTATTTGTCAACGAAATGGGAAACTCGGCAGAATGTTAAGCCCAAAACTAGAATGAGCTGAACCTTATTCAAAGGCAATTTCTCTATTAGACTTTATTTCAGAGATGTCACAAAAACATACTTCATCACCCCAAGACCACCATATCCACTCCACTTGCAAATCCCTGTAGAAGAGGGAGAGCAGCCTTGTGTTTATACTAAAGTGTAGATGGTTGCTAGCTGTGCCTAAGGAAACCCAGAGAAACGGAAGGGATGGCAAGAAAGAGGAACGCTCTGGGTAGGGAAAACACTCCAGGAAGGGAAGAATCACATCACAACCCTCCCCTGCCCAACCCCCTAAGTCAAACTGACAGCCGGCCTAGGCTGTGCCTTATCCCTTGGAAATCTCGACTTTGCAGCTCAGGGAAATACACAGCCCTCTGGGTTGCCGTTCTCCAGTCAGAGAACCGTAACACTAGCCTGCCCTCCCTCTGTGCACAGGCGGGTCGTGAAGCTTGTAATGCAGAGGAAACGTGCAGGCTACCAGTGGTTCTCAGACCTGGCTACATGTTAGAACCACCAGGGAGCTTCCAAAATTCCCTGTGCACAGACCCGGCCTCAGTGGTACAGTTGACAAGATACTGAACTGCAGTGCTAGAAGCCACATGGCCAGCTGCAGGTTCGGATCCCCAGCCCAGGGGACCTGAAGCTTGCCAGGCCCACGTGTGCACCCCAAATCCTGATGGACTGAAGACTGAGTTAAGGAAATCAGGGTGTGACAAGATCCTGCTGAGGGTCTTCCTCTCTCACGGGCATTTATGTACTATCATGAATAAAATAAATAAAACTTAAGCAAATTCCAGGCTGATCCATGGCCTGGAGGTTAAGGGAGGTAGATCCTACATGGCTGACAGTATGATTCAAATCCCAGACCTGGTGGCTTGAAAAAATGCTGGGTATGTGTGTGCATGTGTGCCCCAAATCTTGACAGGGTGGAGAAATGGAGAAGGGATTGCAGCGTGACCATTCCCCTTGGTGGTGGTGGTGGGGGGGGTCTTTCCTTCCTCTGTCTCTCTGTGTCTCTGTGGCAAGAGCATATACTCTCTGGCAATTTTTTTTTAATTGTGTACATACCCAAGAAGCAGTTACATCTGAATGTTTCAAAATACCAAACATTATTATTATTATTGGAGTTTTTTTTTGTTTTTTTTTTTTTTTGACAGGTTTTTGGTATAGGGTGCATGCACTCGACAGAGAGAGACAGAGAGAGAGAAAGTGAGTAATAACCCCCCAGGGGGGGATTGCCATGCCTCAATCCCTTCTCCTCCATTCTCCTCTCAGGATCTTAGGCACGCACGTACACATGCCTGGTGTGAATTTAAGCTACCAGGTCCAGGACTCGAACCACGGTCGACCACATGGAAGTCTAGTGACAGAGCCATTACACTAACCGCTGGTCCCCAAACATTATTATTTTTTAAAAGTTCCCCAGGTGATTTCAATATGCAACTGGAGTCCAGAGCTGCTGTCCTAGCCCAGTGGTTCTTAACTGAGGATGACCTAGCCCACTGCCTTCTGGTTCCAGGGACGTCCAACCCTGTCTGAAAATATACGTGATCTGGGTACAGGGAACTAGTAGCATGTATTGATTAGAGGCCAAGGGTTTACCAGACCTCCTACAAGGCACAGAACAGCCATCCACAACGGATGATCTGGCCCCAGATGCCCACAGTGACAAGACCAGGAAACCCTACCACACACAAATGTAGAAATGGCTTTTATTACAGAGATCCTTTCTCTAGCCTGGCCCAAGGACATGAAAACCAGAATAACCCGAAATCCTGGATCCCCCCACACTTTTGTGGCCCTGTTGTCTCTCCCTGAGGTTAGAAAACTCAGAGGTAATGATTCTTCAAAAGACCGTTCATTCATTGCACAAATATTTAATGAAGACCTACTAGGTGCCAGGCACCAGACTAGTGACACACTGGTTGGGCATCTAGGGATGTTTGGAGTAAGAGTTCCCATCCTGCCCCAGATAGCGAGACCCTGTCAGATCCCCACCCCCACCACAAAACGCCCCTTCTAGCAGTTGGGCCCCAATGGTAGACTTGAAGGCATGGCTGGGCCGTTGAGCCCGCCGTAGGGTAAGAGTTGTGGCCCATTCTCAGGAGTCTCTTATCTCATGGGGAGAATTAGCCCCAATCTGACTGATCAGCTTGAATACAGGGCAGATTTTAGGAGTCCATGGGAGGTTTCTGAGCAGCGGAGTGGCATGACCAACCTTTGAGCAGAATTAATCTGGCGGCCATTTTCTCAGTAGTAAGAAGAGTAAGAGTGAGGAACACCATTTAGAAGCTTAGCCTAGGACAATCGCATTTAATTCAAAATCCACCTCACTGGAGACAAATCTTCCCAAAGAAGCACATGTAAAGTAGGAGAATGCTTTTTACCGTGAACAAATCAATAAGCACAGAAACAGGCTTTAATGCTGCTTTTCATTCTCCCAACACTATCTGAAATGTTGCAGAGGGCTTGCCCCTAAATTGGCAGCTGCATGCTTCATGGTGGTTTCTTAACCATCTTTGTGGTAATTTAGCTCCTCTTGCCTCAGTCCAGAGCTATAGACATTGGCCCCAATTTTGTAACACGACAGCAAGCTGTACTGCTTAACCGACACGTGGACACCTCTGTCTCAGGGTGTCAGAAAGCTTGCCCATTCTAACCATGCCTGATAACAACCAGCACCGATAACAGGATCGCTCACTGAATGCTCAAAGCTGGGCAACAATACCACGATGCCCTCAGGACAAACGACAGATGGAAGTGTCACGAACTGTGGGGATAGTCATCCCACTCACAGTACCCTGGGCCTGCCACTGTGGAAAGTACGAACTTTATTGAGCTGGAGGGTACAGTATTTCAAAATACACTCTGAGACCTTCTTCACACATTTGCATCACATGGCCACAAACTCTCACAACTGCAGCAGCTCAGGCAAGAGGGTGAGTGGTTGAGCAGTCAAGCCCCAGAGTCACATGCCTGGGTTCAAGTCCCAGCTCCGCTGCTTCCTTGCTCTGAAAGACTAAGGTAAGTCATGTGACCTCTCTGTGCCTCACTTTACTCATCTAAAAATCATGGGAGTAACTTAGAGCAGATGTGTATTTTATTTGCAGAGATTTAAACAGTATCTGGCATATAATAAACCAATTTACATGTGGGTTAACTTTTTAAAAGAATTATCTTATTTAATTTTATTATTATTATTATTTGTTTTAATTTGACCAGAGAAAAACAGAGAGACAGAGGGAGAGAGAAAGTGAGAAAACAAGCTGCCAGGTGTGACACTCAAACTGTGGTTGTTCAGGAGAGTCCAGTGTCTTTAACCACCACGCCACCTGCCGGCCCCAGCATGTGGGGTAAGACTCAGACCAGTAGATGGCATGGTGGTGAAGGTACCAAATCCCATATGGTTTGATCAACTCCTGGAACCGCCAGTACATGTGTGCGTGCCCAAAATCTCAAAAGGAGGATGGAAGAGAAGAGTTTGCCATCGCACGCTCCCCCCCCACCCCACCCCCATCTCTCTGGCAAGTGCGCATGCTCTATAGCCAAAAAAAAAAAAGAAAAGAAAAGAAAAGAAAAAAGAAAGGGTCTGAGAGGCACCTCATGGATGAATCACATGACTTGAGCTCACAAGGTATGTATAACAGAAGCTCAGGGAGCCAGGGAAGTACTTAGAACTCAGGGAGGGTGACTGTGACCTAGGGTAGAAAGCTTCCAGACTCCGTGTCTGCAACAGCGGGAGGTGCTAGGGCAGGGCCTCTCTGACCACCTGGGGGTCAAGCTCAGTGCAGACTCTCTGCACCCGCTCCCCCTCTACAAGATAGTAATGGGGACCCTAGAGTTTCTGATGCACAGACGTAGTGAACGCAGTCACAGGGCTGGTCTGGCCTTAAGCTCCCAAGGCCCCTAAAGTGTTATCTGGGCAGCCTCCAAACCTGCCCATGGGGAAAGCCTGGCCAGGGGATCCCCAACGACCTCTCTGAAAGTGTTCTTTTATAACCTCTCTCAATTTACCAGGACACTCATCACCGTTCCTTTATGGTACATATTAAACAACTCAACCCTGCTCTACAGTGAAGCTCTGCTAACTCCTAAATGTCCCCTACCTTACCCAAACTGGCAGGAACATCCCTCCCATGCCACCCAGTCCCACCTACAAATCTGAACCTTCCATAACCCTGAGTTCCCAGGGGCTTCTCCACTTCTTCAGCCCAACTCTGAGCTGGGGAACCTGCAGGGTCAAGCCAACATGGGTGGTGGGGACCACACAGCAGAAATTGGCTTTTCTCTGGGGCATGGGGGGGGAGGGTGGGACAAAGATTTACATGGCAGTCCCTCTGTAAAAAGGACCTGATTCTCTCCACGGGAGTCACTGAAAAATGATGGTATTTCCCATCTGTCCTCTAATAATCAAATCCTGCCAGTCTTTCAAAACCAATTGAGGTCCTTCTTTCTTCCCCAAAGAGCCCATAAGAGCCCTCTTCTTTGAGCTCCAATCCTCTCGAGAGGAATCCTGACCATTTCCTTTCTTTGAGATACCCCCAATAAAGAAATACTAGATCAGGGAACCAGCAGTTAGCGTAATGGCTATGTCGCTGGA